ATAGAATTTCATTGCAAACTGTTAGAATATAATGGGGCGTATTCATAGTGAAAATAAAGTCGACTTTGAAGGCAGTCTCAACTTTTTAACATAACTTCCAACGAGTTTAACGTGGAATGTATCACATAATTTGATAATTAACGTAAATGATCGACAGCTAATAGTTTTAAGTATGTATGTATGCACATTAGGGTGGTCCAAAAACAGTAAAGGCGGAATTGTAATGCTCTCACTCCCTAGGATTGTTTTGTATCGAAAAAAGTATACCCATATTTTTTTATTTTGAAATCAAAAATATTTAGAGGTCGCTCAAAGCGCTCAAAGTTTTCCATGTATTTTTGTATGAAAAAAACAACTTTTCGTAAAAATGGTATAGAATTCTTGAAAATCATTATTTTTCGTTCGTATGTGTGAATTCAAGTTTCTATAAAATCTATACAGAATATTTTTTTTCGTCTATACAAGATTAAAAACAATAATCTGTTCTTTGATAGATTGTCACATTGTGTGAAATATTTTTTTTTATGTACATTCATATGTATGTGTATGAATACGAAATACATGCTTTTTCGGTTATTGACAATATTAAAACGCAAAGGTATGAAATCAAATAGTATTTTTTTAAGTTTTTTCTAGCTTGATACTTTGATACTTAAATAAAAAATACAGTGATACATTTCATCAATTTTCTGTTTCTTTTACGATACATTTTTTCATGCCGTCGCGGCAACACTGCTTGTGAGCCACCCCTAAAGAATGCTTAGCGCTTTCTGAGCACATGTATGTTTCACATACGAAGAGCGCCACCTGAGCGATACACACAGTCCCACTTATTGAATCGTTTGAATGTGTTAGTATGCCGACCATTATGTCCAGAGGTGGGCACTACCACAAACAATCGTGAGCTAAAAGTGAGAATGTGTTAGTTTACGTAATTCATTTTGCATGCTGTCGTGTTCTCATCACTGCGCTCTCGCTTGTATACGTACACGCGACGCTTACGCTCTTTTAGCACCTGCTAACTCTCTGCCCATGCCTGATTATGTCGATCACTGCGCTAGGTAGAGGAAGAAAAGTGTGCGCTGTGACATGCCCAGACTTGTTTGTCTCAGCTTCAGTTTTGCTATTTTTTTTTTTTTTTTTTTTAAATTTTTTTTTTATTTCTCACTCCTACTTTTTCGCTATCGTTTTTGCTAAATTGAAATATGTTTAATTTCTATGACTTTATGAATTAATTTATGCCGAAGTAAATAAATAAATAAACTATGCAGGTATAGTTAATATGGTTTTGTGATTATCTGGTCACACTGCTATTGATGATGCAGACGCTGGCAATTTATTAGCAGAATTATTACTCTGTTATGCTGTTACTAATCGTACGGTGCGACGATGCGGCGATGCTGAGTAACTACGCTACGTTGGCATCGTGGTAATAGTCATTGATAGAGATTAATACTTTTAGATAGTTGGTAACCCCCTTCAAAATTGTTACTTCGGGTTAATTGTGCATTTAAATGCCTTTCATTCGCTGAACGCAATGCAAACTTATATATATTTAGTCACTAAAATTTTAAGCAGGTGACAATCCTATTAAAAACTTTTTATTTTGTAACTCAGCCCGGTGAAACTGTCCTTCAAAGTGGTGTTTCAATCATTCAATTAGATGGAGTATTATGGAAGATATGGCGCTTTATTGGCCGGATACATTGCTTTCAGCTTTTAAAAATCCTGTTTCTTTAATACATAACTAAACTTGAACAACGCGACTATTTTTCGCATGTACGTGAGTTTGATTTGATTTGATGATTGATTTGATAAAATATTAAAGGATATATCGTTTGGTAACAGAAAAATACCTTTTAGAAATAAGTATGTAGATAGATAAACCGCCTATTCTGGTCAAAAAACTTCCTTTCATCAATTTTTTTTTTGTAGTCCTGTGTTATTTATTATTTATTTAGTTATGAACCGACTTCAAAAAAAAAATAGTAAACCCTAATTTTTTTATTTTGAAATCACAAAGTATTTAGAAGTCGCTCAAAGCGCCCAAAGTTTTCCATGTATTTTATATTGGGAAAAACCACTTTTCGTAGAAACGGTATAGAATAGTTAAAAATCAATATTTTTCTACCAGAAAACTCTGTTTATCAGCAGAAGAATACCCAATTGTTTATTTGACGCTTTTTTCATCGCAACTATAATTTATAGGTCCACCAAAAACCCACAAAAACTCCGAAAAATGCAATGGGGCGAACAATAAAAAAAACGTTAGTATTAAAAAATGGTTAATTAAACAATTGGGTATTTTTATTGAAAGTCTCCTGAAGAGAACCAGAGTTTTCCGATCGAAAAATATTGATTTTCGAGAATTCTATACCATTTCTACGAAAAATTTTATTTTTCCCATATAAAAATACATGCAAAATTTTGAGCGCTTTGAGCGACCTCGAAATATTTTTTGATTTCAAAATAAAAACAAATAGGGATATACTTTTTTCGATATAGAACAATCCTAGGGGGTGAGAGCATTACAATTCCGACTGTACTGTTTTTGAACCACCCTAATGTATATAATGGTGGCCGCTGTGGTGTAGTGGTAAGCAGTGCGCGCCTCTACTCCGCAGCGCCTGGGTTCAAGCCCTGGCCAAAGCAACATCGCAAAAAAATTTAGAAAAAAGGTTTTTTCTTCACAGCGGTCGCCCCTCGGCAGGCAATGGCAAACCTCCGAGTGTATTTCTGCCATGAAAAACAGCTTCTCATTAAAATACAATCGCCGTTCGGAGTCGGCGTGAAACTGTAGGTCCCTCCTCTTTGTGTGACAACATCAAGACGCACGCTACAAATCTGAGGAGAAGCTCGGCCAAACACTAACATATGTGTAAGCGCCAGACTATTATTCAGCCTCATTGCGTAAGTCGTAAATTAGGCTCAATTGTACGACTCGACAATATTGGCATTGTATACAGCCGTGCTGAAATAAGTAAACGACGAAAATCGTCGTAAACTATACAGTGCTGCCAAGTTTTCCCACTTTAATACACTAGTCGAGTGGAAATTTTAGGCAATGGCGTGAAACTTAAGATACGATTCGACTCTCGAAAAACGACTTGCATTCGACACGGCTCTCGCAATGAGGGCGATTATTATTAATGTACATACATACATATGTAAATAGGAAAGTACTTGTACATATGTATGTACGTGAACCTAATGAAATAAAAACATCAAAGTAGGTACAGCTGATTTATAAATTCCGGCTCTCACTGAAATCCCAACAAATGTAGCCTATGTACATCCATGCTCACATATGCAAACAAAAAAGCATCAGCTCCTTACGCTTTTTTGAACATAGCACCTAACAAAAAAAAAACTATTTTGAAGAAAGAGCGCCTTCACGTATTATGTTAGCTATTAATCTTTAAATAGGTGGCAGCCCCATTTAGAAAATAAAAGCATATCCGGAGACCATATTCTTTCACTTTTTACCTAATTTTTTGAAAATCTTATTATTTTTAGAAAGGTGGCAACCTTACTCAAAAAATAATAGATTATTGAACATCTGGAGGCCAAGCCTTTTCACTTCACATCTCACTTTTTGTATTCATACCATGTTCGAATGAAATAGTAATTTTGTAAATATGTGGCAACCCTACTCAAAAAGTAATACATTATTGAACATCTAAGAGCCGAGCCATTTTATTTGACACATTTCTGGTAATCCAACGAACAGTGCGGCTCTTATAATTTTTTTAGACAGGTGGTAACCCTATAGGAACTCAAAGGTCTAAAGATAATATTCCTATCGATACAGATTATATTTAAAAAATTTCGTCTAAATCCGTTCAGTGGCATGGTCAAAATATCTCCACTTTCCTTTATACTATGTATAGAAGATAGTAAGTTTAAATAGGTGGCAACCCTACTTAAAAAATAATAAAGTTTTTGTACATGCGAAGGCCATGCGCTTTCATTTGGTATCTCATTTTGTCATCCAACGAACGGCGAAAATCTTTTAACTTATTAATAGATGTAACCCTACTCAGAAAAATAATACATTATTGCGCATGTAGAGGCTAAGTCTTTTCGTTTGACAGTGACGATACAGAACTGATGAATATAGTAATTTTATTAACAGGTGGCAACCCTATTCAAAAAACAAAATATTAGTGCTTTTCTAGAGCCCAATCCCTTTCATTTGACACCTCATCTATTGTAATCCAACGAACGGTGCGGATCTTATAGTTTTTAGACAGGTGGAAATCCTATTAAAATTTTAAGTAAAAAAGGATCCCTCTCCTGTCGATACAGAGTATATTAGAGAAAATTTCGTCAAAATCCGCTCAGTAGTTTTCGAGATTACCGCGTACAAAGAATCTCGACTTTCTTTAATACTATGTATAAATAGATGTACGAATAACGAAATCAACAATTTATTATTTGTTATTCGTCATTCAAATAAATTTTGCCCAACTCTACTTTCAAATGTATATTATTATTAGGATTTATAAGCTTTCGCACATAACCATTATAGTTTGATTTTATTTTTGAGTTAGATATGTATATTAGGGTGGTCCTTAAATGTAGAAAGCAAATTTTTACATCAGATTTCCTAAGCCACAACCTTGACGTCGATGCTACTATAGTCGAAGATATAACATATAAATTTTGGTCTCGATCGTAGACGGTAAAGGCGTGTCGCAAAGCTCAGATTCCTATATGGGGACTCAAAAAATTAAAATTAATTATTTTTTCATTTACTATCTAAAATCGATACTACTTTGGTCGACGATATCACATATAAATTTTGGCCTCGATTAGAGTCGGTTAAGGACCAAAATTTATATGTGATATCTTTGACCGTGATATTACCGATTGAAGGGGTGAGACAGAAAAAAGTCGTTCATTTTATTTTTAAGGGCCACACTAATGTACATACATATATGCATTCATATGTATGTATATATATATTTTGTTACATTTATTTATTATTGGGACTAAAACCTCTTAATTGAAAAATATTATTCTTGCAGTTATTGGTGAGGCACAACTAACTGAAGGACGCAGAAGAAGAAGCTCTCGCGACTTGAAGTGACCATTGTCTTGCGCCTCGGCTGCTAGTTTAAACGTGTGTGACGATCACGACATGGAATTAAACGCATTTGAAACTGACCTACTCGACAGCAATAGTTGCTTTTCATTGGCCGAGACGCAGGGAACATTTTCGATGGATGCTTTTATTGATGGCGTCGATGTTAGTAAAGGAAATTTTGTATGTATGGGTGAAGGGAAAAATGAAAACACTGGGACTGATAAATATAAGTGCACAACCACTGTTGGTATCAAAGAAAAAATAAGCTGTAAAAAGCTATCATCTTCACATGCAAATGCCGAAGTTATTAAGGAAATGACCCTTGTAGAACCCATTGAACGAGCATGGAGGCCGGCGGAAACTTTACAAGCTTATAACACCAGCTTAGGATCAGAAGCTGAAAATGTTCTACCTGAAGTTTCTCATAATACTCCTGTAGATTGTAGTAGCTTCGCAAATATCAATGAGTTTAATTTGTGCCTGAACAACATAATTAACTATGATGATGATGATTTAATCCCGGAACCTTTATCGCCTAGGGTGATAATTCTAACAGATAACAGTGACCATATTAGCAGTATCCGTTGTTCAAGTCACGATTCCGCTGACAATGAGAATCAACGTTTAGCAACCAGGAGTGAAGACCAGATGCAGAACATTTTTGATATCGTAGAGTTGAGTGAAGACATAGAATTACAACGCTTTCGAATAGGCGATCAAGCCCAACGGCAGGCATTTAGCATTGACCATGAATAAG